TACATAGATACTGTACCTGGGGTTGGGGGGAGGTGGGGGAGAACATGGAAGTGGAGGATAGAATTCATGGTCTGATGTTATTCAGTTTAAAGTTGAATCCAGAAGTCTGTAAAGTGTCTAACCGAAAAATCAGGTGCTATTCCTCAAACTTGTGTTGGGATTAAATGGAACTCTGCAGGAGACTTCAGACAGAAATCTGACTATAAGAGTACGATGATGTATTGAAATAATGAGTAACTTAACGGTCATCAATATCCATGAATTGTCATGTCTCTCCCCGAGAAGCTTCCAGACTGCTGAGTATTTCCAGCTTTTCTGTTTATATTTTAGATTACCAGCATTTGCAGAAGTTTGTTTTTGTTAGTGTGTTAGGGTTAGTTTCCACTGAGTATGCGGATGGGGAGGGGCATTTAAAATATAGTGAGGTGTTTACTCACTCCAAATCTGTTCTAATTTGCCAAATGCAATTTAAAATTGTAAACGACAAGAACACCCACTCCAAGATTCTCTTTAAGTATGCTGATTGGGCTTTGATAAAGGATTAGGGCCTGATATTTCATTTTCACTAGGCTTCAGTGGGGAAACTGAGGGCTGAATTTGTCTTGGGCTACTTCCTCTGCCCACACACACACACACATAAACAGAAACTTGAATTTCTCTCCTTCAAGTTCCCTGTTTGTGCACAGAGTCTCTCAGACTTATGCCCTCATGACTTTAACAACAACTTGTAGCACATTCAACAAATTAAAATGTCCAAAATGCTTCATAGGAGCATCACAAAAAAACAATATAACATTGAGTCACATAAGGAGATATTAGGGTAGGTGACAAAAGGCTTGGTTAGAATTGGATTTTAAGGAGGGTGATGAAGGATGAAATGGAACTGGGAAGTGAGGAAGTCGAAAGCACAGGCACTAACTGTACAGCGATTAAAATCAAAGATACTTGGTGGCCATTTCCCGCTAATCCTGGACAACAAGGTGCAGGGCTGGATGAACACAGCAGGCCAAGCAGCATCATAGGAGCAGAAAGGCTGACGTTTCGGGCCTAGACCCTTCATCAGAAA